ATAATAAATGTCACTAAACTTTTGCTGTTTTAGGTCAGTTAGGATTACTAAAATTATGTCTTAACGTAAATGCCAGAATAATGAGACGGAAAAAACTTGTACAAATTTCAAATTCAGAAGTGTCCATACATTCCCTCATTAATTGGTACTGTATGAATGAGGTCTGTTAGCTATGTTGCTTAGCCATGTATTTGAGACAGTATGATAGAGTACATATGGAATTATGTTGAAAATATAATAACCAGCTTGTTTTGCTTTGATAGGTTTTGGCATTTGCAAAAAGGAGTTACTTCAAACACAAAAAAAAAAAATCTTAAGTATAGTATTCTTGAATGCACATCGTCTCATTCTAATTTGGAATATCTTTTCTTGTTCTTTTAGAAAAGCCCTGTCAGAGGTAACTGCATGCCTCAGGGAGCGACTTCACCGTTGGCAGCAGATTGAGAAGCTCTGTGGCTTCCCTGTCGTCAATAATTCTGGTCTGCCAAGCCTGACGGCCAGCCTCTACTCAGATCACAGCTGGGTGGTGATGCCACGAGTCTCAGTGCCTCCTTACCCTATAGCAGGAGGGGTGGATGACCTGGATGAGGACACACCTCCCATCATTCCACAGTTCACAAGTGAGTGAGGCAACACAGCATTTTGGAGGAATACAATGTAATTCAATAAATTGTAATGTCCATGTCACTTTTCCTTGCAGCTGCTACATTGATTCGGCCATCACTCACACGCAGCAGCAGTCTATGTCGCTCCCGTCGGAGCCTGCTGAGCTCTCCACAGTCCTCACTGATGTCTCCAGATCCAGATCTGCTGTCCATGGCCAGCTCAGCCCTCTCCTATCGCCCCGAGGCAGACGACAAACATATCATGTTCAGCTCAGATAGGAGGGGGTATGTAGCGGTGGCCGGAACGCCGCGGAATGGTTTTACAGTTTGGACTCACAGGTGGTTTATCCAGACATTCACACTGCTGCATTGTCATCTTGTAGGTGGAGGATGTGTAGTGGCATCTCCTGAAAGACATACAGAAATAAGTTAGTCTAGCATAGACTATTAGAAACCACCTCTGAGATGTACCTAACAGTCTATGCCTTGGGTCCACTGTTGAACTCGTCAGACCAGAACAGATGCTACTGAAGGCTACCTAAGATCATAAATGGTGACATCAGAGTTGTTTTAAGGACAGGACTGACCAGACCAGTATTCACTCTTTATGACTGTAAAAGGCATTTAAGTGCATTGCAAAGGCACATTTAATGCAACAGTAAAATTCCAGACATTACTGTCAAGATCCAACTACATGGAAACACCAGGAGACAATCAAGAGAACTTAGGGGCCCAACTGGAAAAGTATGTCACATCTTCACCACAGTTACACGTAGTAGAACTTAACTACAGCCATGCAATCAGCTGAAAGGAAGGCAGAAATATCTTAAACTACAGATGTTCGCATCACTGTCTGTGGAGCTCACAAAGGGAGCCACATAGTGGTAGTCAACACTAGTCCTTGACAATACCACCTGAAATTGTATTCAGGGCATCACCCTGAAGATGCACTAAGGGGCACTACTGAGACAGAGTGGAAGCAGAGCATTGAGGTCCTTCAAGGAAACAACACCACTTCAGCTGCATCAATTCTACAATGTAGTACATTGCTGTGTTTTGACTGACATTAAAGAGGATTGAAGCCTCAACAAAAAAGTTTACTGCAAACATAAACTGAGCTCATAAGAACTTTACAACATTTAGTTAAGAATGTCACTACCAAAACAGGGATTAAGTATTCAGAATCTGTTTAAACCAGTGGCTATCACAGCTGGGCCCTCAATCAGGAAAAAAAATGGCTCAACTAAGAATAAAAGGAGAACAGGGGTAACAATGCTGTCTGAATAACTTAGGGCTGTCTCCAAACACAACACCTCAGTGCACTTCACACTTAGCAACAGACTACTCACAGGATGTTTTTAGGTGGTAATAATAAACTCATGCAACTCACCACCAGCCTCTGGGATGAAAGGTTAAACTTCTTCCAGAACCAAAGTGAAGTTCAGCTGCCTTTTTTCTGAAGCACTGAGGATTACCCCGACCTGGACAATGACACAGACACGAGAGGCACACTTAACAATGTTTGCATTTGGTAAACAACATCTCCACCATATGCATGTAGACATTTGGCTCTGGTCTGGTCAGTTGCTAAACCAACAGTCAGAATTTATCCTGCTCATGGAGATTAATGCTCAACTTCATACCTTCTCAGGAAATCAGCCAAATTCAAAGCTACTACTTGGTGAAATTAAGTTTAACCTCTTAACACCCCAGCTCATGTTTGATATGCATTTCTTTTTAAAAATTATTTTTCTTTACCATTTGATCTAATCAAATGGTAAAGAAAACATGCAAAATATGATGTGTTAAGAGGTTAAACAATAAGATCAGTTGATGAAATAACCATTTCAATTAGCTCCCACAACTTTGATGATTTGTTACTTCCAGCAGTACAAAATGAGTCAGTGGGCAAAAGCACGCACACATTTAAAAATATTGTTTTTAAAGTGACTCAGATGGAGGAAATTGCCTTTACATAGGATGGTCAGGTAAGACGAACTAAAGATTCGTCTTACCTGACCTCTTTGTCAGTACATGACGAGATACATCTTCTCTCCTTTTCTAGGGAGCCTCCACAGGAGGGCAGCGCTGACACAGACTCTCTCAACTCATCCATTGGCCGCAAGCAGCTGCACAACCCCTGCTCACCAGGCTCAGAGACCCCCTACCGCAAAATCTCCCGTGAGGAGCTGCTGCTGTACACCCAGAGTACAGACCTTCCTGCGTCCACCCCCACCACCCACACTAGCAGCAGCAGCAGCAGCAGTCTCAGGGACTCCACACCTCCTCCTCTGCCTCCCACTCCAGCCACTACCCCCTCTGGCCCACCGTCCACCTCACCCTCCCCGGCCTTAGAGCACCACCCATTTGCACAAAGAGGCTCGCCCGACCTCACCCGCACCATACCTGAGTCTCCTTTCTCACAGGGGAACGCCACCTCTCAGACGGGCAAAGGCATGTACAACGGCATCCTGGAGAAGTCCTACAGCTTCGGTCAGCTGCCAGCAAGCATGCTTCCCAACGTGGGGCGTTATCCGTCTCTCACCTCCCTGGACTCGGAGGGCCGGAGTGTGGGAAGGGAATACAAGCTCCAGAGCACGTCCTCCCAGGACTCCAGCGACAATGGGGAGAAAATCAAGCGCTCCTCTTCTAAAATCAAAAGCCTATTTAAAAAGAAAAAATAAAAGTTGCGGTGAGATAATGCGTGTGTGTGAGAGAGAAATAAAATATAAAGAGTTGTTTTAGCCCTAATACTAAAAAATGGACATCACTGTAAGCTAAAACGTTTCATTTTCTCTCTTCATTCTTCTTTTTGTCATCAAAGATGGAATGTAGCTCAGGCTGGGTGCCTTTAAATGTTCTCCAGACTGGTAGCCTTATTTTTCAATAATGCCTTTTTATTTAGCTCACTCATAGCCTCGTAGGAAAACCTGCTAAGGTCAAGAAAATGTCAACGAAAGGTCAAAGGCCATACCTGTTCACTGTCTTCTCTTAATTTTACTTTGAGTTTGAACCAAAAAGCCACTATGTTAAAGGGTCTAAAGGTGCAGTCCATACATTTAATGTTAAGCACACAATGTGGAGTGTTTCACTGTTGATGTATAACAGAGTGATGTTTGCTGTTACTGCTGAAAGGTTGTTTTTTTTTACAGTATACAACAGGCGTGAGAACACGAGGACTCTGTCTAAAAATTAAATTTGTAACAAAATACAAATTGAAGCTAAAATGACTTTTTAAATCTGCAGTTTTAAAACTTTCTATGAAACAGTTTGCAAATCAAAGAATTCTCGCCCTTCTCATCTGAGCCTACCTCCATGTAAACAAACTAAATGCTCCTGTCATGTCTGATGAACAATTACATTTTTTCATTCAGAGTCAGAAAGCAAAGCTAACAGCACAACCACAGCTAAAGCAGGCATAGCTTACCTCTTTTTAAATTCCTCTTCCTCATTACCAGCTGCCAACCAAATGGTGTAAACAGAACACGTTGACACAGTTTCCCTGCAAAGACATGAGAGATTAATTGAGCTTTCATCTAAATTTCAGAATACTCTAGTGGACAGAGCATAGAACTACAAGCTGATTTTAACATTAAAAATATTTAGAAATTACAATTCACAGTTTTAGAGTAAAACCCTATGCAGTATCATCAAATGCATTGTTCGTAATATTTCTTTTTTATTAACAATAAAAAACCAGATACTTTGGAAAGACTATATTGAAAATACAGATTCTAAAGTAGAAACTTAATGCAACAAAGAAACATCACATGTGATCAGTTTGCATCACGACAAAAATATCTGAAAAATGACAAAACCTCTCTCCATTAAGTTTTCCGACACTGACATGCTCCACAAGGAAGGATTGAGCTTTTTATCAAATATAACATTGGGCATAAGAAGTACTGAACAAAATACCAGATATAAATCTCAGTAAACTAAGTCTTTTCTGTTGGGCCTGCATTTTTAATGTAAGAAATTAAAGTTTTAAATCAAATACTATTTAACTTAAAAGTATTGCCTTGACTGTAACATGACAGTTTTGTATCATTTGATATTTAACTGATAATCCACAGAGGGGTACTCGCCTACGTTGTATTCTGTAAAACTTACTTTCAGTCGTGACAACAGCCCAGAAAAATGGTCAAAAGATTTTGTTGTCACTTTTTTTTGACAAGTGTCCAAACTGCAGTACTTCTCCCTGATTAAAATGATGGATTGCATCTTGTTAAGTGTTTGAGTCCTGAACTCATGTACTTGATTAATTTCCTTTGGGAAAAAAAAAATTCTGCTAAGTTTGTTGCACTACTGCTTTCCTGGTATGTTGGGAAAGACCCGCTACTTGCGGAGTACATATTGAATAAAGAGATGAGAGGAATGCATGGGCAGCCGCAATGAAGACGCAACACATAATGCCAGAGCCAAAATTACCTGATGTGTCTTTACTGCCACTGTTTATGGATGTCTCTCTCTATATATATAAATATAAAAGTATATATACTTTGTTTTCACATCATTATGTTCTTATAGATGTTTCTAAATAGATTCGTGAATGGTGGGGGTTCCTCTGAAGTGATCTTTACTGAAGAAAGCTTATTGAATATGCAGATTTAACCCACATCAGTCACCATCCCTGTATTCTACCTGCCCTTTATTACTTGATTAACTGCATCCTGTAGCCATACAGAAACTAAATGTACCATTTCCATGTTTTGTCTTGAATACCCTGCCTCTTCTAAAACTTGGTGTCACTACCAGATTTTGGTCAAATTGGCTTTGCAATTAATTATTTTTGTGGGTGGAGTTCCTTATTCGCGAGTGTTAGAAAATCAAAGACAACAGCAGGAATGTAACTTGAACAGAAGCACTGTCTGTGATCAGCAGCTGACTACACTGTTACTATTCGACTGTGATCGTGTGCTCTCAGCTGTCTTTAAAGACAAACAGTAAGGATTATCTGTTTAGAAGAAAAAGACTATTTGATCCAGATCTGATCGGTACACCAAGACCCGCCTCCCTCACCACACACTAAGCTCGAAGCCGACCCATGCAATACAGTCCCGTTCCTCACCTCTGGGCCCGCACCGAGCGCACTGATGTCAAGAGCTCCTGCTTCACACTGTGATTTCTGGCTTCTTCTCTTCATCTGGACCTGGCTGTGACGGCGTGTCAGCGGTGGCATGATGCAACGTCAGGGTGTGATGCCATCTCCAAGGTGTGTCTGGCTGTAAGGACAACATGATGACGTGCGGATCCAGTGGCCTCTGTTTTTAAATGACAAAAAACAAAAAAATATATATCTTTAGAAGGTTGTGGACAATGCAGCACACCGTGAAGGAAATGGAAAACAGAACTGCAAGACGAGGAGAAAATGAATGTTTACCAGACGTTAGGGTTTTTTTTGAGAACATTTTGTGTGTGAATATTTGTATACTGTAGAAGAATTAATAAAAAAAAAAATGGAGGCACCTGAGACGTTTCAGAGTCATGTCTGCCGCAACCATGTCAGAAGTTATTCCTGAATTAGTTACAATAGTTGCTGTGTAGAACTGCTACAGAGCAAGTTAACTAATTGGACAAAAACCGTGAAGATTAAACAGATGTAGTTTTGTCCTTGCACTCCATTGAATTTACACATTACATTACATTCCATAGCACTGGAACAGAAAACCTGTAAAAA